CCCCCCCCCCCCCCTCTTTTTCTCTTTGTCTTTTACTTTCATGCATTTAGATTTTAATGTAACTGGCACTAGCAACTTACATTTCAATCACCCTTGTATTCTCGTACTTAACTTATTAATGTAATGCTCCGTTTTCAGCGAAAAAAAAAAAGGTTGGTTGGTCGTATAATTTTAATAAAAATCCCGCATAAACTTTATGCAGCATTTAGTTGGCAATAGTAAGAACTTGTTTGCCCTAGCTTAAAATTTTTGTTTATTTTGCTTTAATCTAGATAGCTTTTCGAAAAGCGACTTTAAAAGTATTTTGAATTTGGCCAAATCATTGGAGAGCACTTTGTTGCTTTTCAAAAACTGGCTTTGAGCGCTAATTTACGAAAAGAACATATATAAAATTACTTTATAATTAATATTATCTAAAAACAAAAACGTGATTTTCATTAATAAAAATATTATAAAAATATTTCTTATATTTGTTTGGGATTTGGTAAGATTTGTGAAAATTAGGAGTTCGGAAGACAATGAAAAAAAAATCATGGTGAAGAAGAAGAAGGAACATGTGTTTTAACGACTGATTTCTTTGTCGAAATTAATGTGGATACAACGTAAATAGCGTAATTTTGTCTTAAACAATAAATTTCTGTTTTTGCTTCTAAGAAGAAACATTGTAACTTTCTCTCATAGCAGAAAAATTACTTCTTCTATTACTCAAAATTTATTTATTTTTATTGTGGCCTAAAATCTTTTTTAAAAAAAAAAATGCCTTTTTGAAGAAAAAGTGCTTTTGGCATTTGCTTTAAGTAATGTAGAATCAGTGTGTTATTTTTGTGATATATAATACTCCCTCTATTGTAACTTATGTCAAACTATCTTTTTATAGAATGATACATATTCTATATATATTTTTGTAAGATTTTGTTATACAATACGTTATAACATGTTTAAGACTATAAGTTTCAGAGCTCTTATAGACATACAAATGATGTCATATTTAAGATTACAAACTTCAAAAGTTCTTCTATTTCTTTCTTAAACTTCACGCTAAATTAAAATAAGTTACATAAATTTGATCGAAACAAAAGTATGAAATACGTGTAGGTGCATTAGAATAGGAAGATGAAATTAGAAATTTTTACATTCCTATATCACATAGGAAACCTTTTTACCCTACATGTTTAAGGTTTGAGTAAATTACACTTAGTATACCAAATTACCAATCCTATACCATACTTAATTAAGGGTCTAATTAATGGGCAGTTTTTACTCCTTAATTAAAGGTATCCATATATCCCACGTTTCTCTCTCCTAACCCCTCACCCCCCACCCACGTTTTTACCCATACCCCATATTCTTTTTACCATTTTCCCTCTTCTGAAACCAAACAAAATTCCACATCGATTGTGTTCTGCTTTTTCACATCACTGATGAATACTCAACATTTTAAAAGATAACGGAGAGCCATTATGTCTTTTGGAAAAGTCAAAAATGAAAATAAGGCTTTTAATTTTACCGGATCTCATAATGCCTGAAAATGCAGAATGTTCATTTACGGACTTACAAGGATGAAGCGACTTTGGCTAGTGATCATGCACGAAAGAGAGAAATGGAAGCTCTTAATCACCTTTGTGTGAATCATGTTGGTCTAACAACTTTATTCTTTAGTGTTGTCTTCCAGTAAAATTCCATTCTCTTCTCTCTAATAGTTGCTCTGTCAGGTCGATAGGTACATGGAACTTTGGAATAAGAATGATGAGTTCAGAAAGGAAACAAAAATTAAGGATAATCCCCTACCCCTTCTTCTGACTTTGATTCAAAGATTCAACTTTTAAATACCAAGCTTCACCCTGAAACCTTAAATTGACTTGTAGTTTTTTTGAAGAAATTTTGTAGATGAAGAGAAAATTTTGTAGTCAACATTTTTTTTCAACATAAAATTGTAGTTTAATTGTAATATAAATATAGTAATTTGTAGAATACTCTTAAAAACAAATACAGCTTTATACAATACTTAAACTGATTTGTAGTTTATTTTGAAGAAATTTGTAGATGAAGAGAAAGTTTGTAGTCAACATTTTTTTCCAAACATAGATTGTAGTTTAATTATAGAATAGATGTTAGAACGTTTGTAGATACCCTTAAAAACAGTACAGGCTTTAACAATACTAAAACTGATTTGTAGTTTTTTTTGTAAAATTTTGTAGACGAGACCCATTTTTTAATGTACAATCAATTAATAGTAATTTTGTAGATACTCTTAAAAACAATACAGCTTTATACAATACTTAAACTGATTTTAGTTATTTTTAGGTTTTTTTTGAAGAAATTTTGTAAGTGAAGAGAAAATTTTGTACTCAACATTTTGTTTCAACATAGATTGTAGTTATTGTAGTATAAATGTAGTAACTTTGTAGATATCCTTAAAACATACTTTATACATACCTAAAACTGAGTTTGTAGTTTTTGTATAGAAATTTTAGAGATGAAGACCATTTTTTTTATAATCAGATTTTCCATTCAATTGTAGCATGATTGGGATTTTGCATTTCCCATCTACACAATGGCATAATATTCAAAATCTCTAAATTGCCTAATTATCCCAATTCCCATTAAATTGTAGCATGATTGCGATTTGGTACATGATTTCTTGTTGTGTTGTTGATGTTTTAATTGGATTTCTCTATATTGAGAAGAAAAGATGAAGACATAGATATATATGAGCGACCAATTTGAGAGAAGAAACCGCGACAAGAACAGATTTTTATCTAACTTTGAGTTAGTTGAAACTTCGAAAATTTGAAATTCTATAATTTGAATTCAGTTCGTCGAATCTGTTAGTAGTTGAATTCTGTTCGTAAGTTTTTTGCAGCTGTTCGTTTCGTTTTTTTTCGAGAATTTGAATTGTAGTTCTGGAGAAAAATACGCAGATGAGAAATCTCCTTTCCCTTTTTAAAATTGAATTTAATGTAAAATCAATTAATACCAAGATTCTCTCCTTAATTTTAGCTCGTTTTTCAGGGAATATTCTGCCCTTTTAATACCTAATAGACGAATGGTACAAAAATTGTAGGTAAAACGTGGATTGGGCGGGTAATTTACATACTATGCACATTTTTGATAATAAAGTTTCATATATGGTATAGATAGGAAAAAACCTCATGAAATTACCTAAAAAACAAACGCCCTACTTTAACGTAGGTAATCTCTACGTAATATTAATTTCATGTATTATTATTATTAGGTGCAGAACAGTTCTTGTATAATTATTCACCATATAAAAATTTCTTTATTATTAATGTTCTTTGAAGTTAATTTAGAAAAATAATCACTCATTTTCTTTGAATGAGTACACCTGCTGGCTTCGTTCGAAGATACCACGAAGACTATTCTAACCGCGTTCCTTCTTTAATCCAAAGAAACATAACGGAGATGAAAAACAAAAGCTGAGTTTAATACGTTGAATTGTTTGTTAGCTATGGTATGTTTGATACGACAGAAAGTATTTTTCATAAATAAAATAAAAAATTCAGAGTAAAAGTTTCCCAAAAAATAATTTTAGATATTAGTTTGGACGAGTAAAAGATATTTTCTAGAAAAATATATATTAAAAATTAAATAATATCAACAAATTGGAGTGTATTGTTTTAGTGAAATTTTTGAGTACCTGAAATTATTTATAATGCCTAGATTCATGTTAGTTAAACCAAGTAATATAAAGTGAAAAATTCAAGATATTTTGTGAAAATTACTTCCACCTATAAGGGAGGGATGTCATTTTCTTCCTTTTCATGAAAAATGATTTCTATCCTACCAAACACACCCTAGGAACTCAGAGAAGGTATATATACTAGAAGAATAGACTCATTTATTTCCTTCTTTATTATCCAATTAGATGAGAAAAACGAAGAAGATAATTAGAACTTATTAAACATATATAAAGCCGCTGAGAAATGAAGTGGCATTTACTAGAGGAGATTATGCGTAGGAGAGGCGGATCCAGTGATAAGTTATGTGCTTCCTTTGTATTTTGATGATCTAACAAACTTTATGATAAGAACCAGATTTAGGAATCTGTTACGCATCCTTAAAGTGCTCAAGAACAACAAGTCTCAAGTCAGGCACAAGTTCCAACAACTTGAGTCAAAGAGACGACAGAGGGTACAAATGGACGTTAGTTCCCTTGCTGACAGTACAAGTCAACTCCTCACAGCTGTAAAGTCGCTGGACTGTTTCTCTGCACACACGCAACAGTACAAACAGTGCAGCAGTCACTTTATGGAGAATGCCATGTACCAGATAATTGCTTGCGTCATGCAAGTGACATCACTTGTATATTTATCAACATGAAGTAAGGGAAAAATACATGCTTGAACAATCCGAAAATTATCAAGTTTCTCTCTCAAGTGTGCTGCCATCTTGCAAGTGACTTCAAGGCTTCAAGAACGAAGAATAACAGAACGAAGGACCAGTCCAGTACTGTGTTACTATATGTCCTTAGTTTTGTTGTACCTTTGTTAGAGTGATCTTCTTGTAATTCCTACTTAGCTTAGCTAGAAGTATTGTGCAGGAAACCATCTGTAAAATCATAAACCTTGTGTTTGTATCTGGGCTAGAGTTAGTCGAGTTGTGAGCTTTGTAATAGAGTTATTACAAAGAGGCTTGTAATAGATTACAAGTAGGCGAGGGATTAAGAGGTTAATTTCTAGGTTACAATAGTTTGTAAGCGAAGTTTGCTCAGTTAGTGAAGTTGAAATCCCACGAGTGTAGGTTGTGATTTTTAATCCCGTGAGCTGGGAGTTTTTCACGTAAAGCTCTGTCGTGTCATTTACTTATCTTTGATTGTGTGTGTTATGTGGAACTGATAGAGAACCAGATTCTCTATACAGTTTGGTAGACCCTAAGTTCCCATCGTCCAGAATTTACGATCTACTGGTTTGAAGTCATTATATTTTTAACGGAAAAGGCTTAAAAATGCCACTCAACTTTCAGAAATGGTCTATCCATGCTATCCGTTAAAAAAAAATGCTATTTCCATGCCACTGCCGTTATAGAAATGGCTCATCTATGCCATTATTAAACTAACGGCACAATTTTTTTTTTAAATTTTTTTAACACTAACATTTCCACGTGTAATATCTTCATTGGCCGGATTAACCCATGCCCCACTTAATTTTAACCTCGGTTAGGTCAATTAACCCAAATCCCACCCGGTTAAGTTTTTACCCAAATAATCAACTCAACCCAAAACCAAACCTAACCCTTCCAAATCCCCCCTCTCCGGTCATCTTCCCCAAATAAAAAATTGGCCCTTCGTGTCTTGTCCCTTTCCACCATTTTTCTCAAGGAAGCCGCTGCTTATGGTCTTTGCCTTGCTGAAATTTGTGAGATGACGAGCAGGAAATTCCGTAGTGGGGAGGAGGAACCAAGTGAGCTTGAAGTTGTTTGCTTGGAGGCAAGAAGGCTAATTGCTGAGAGGGAGATTCTTTCTCCCAAGTCTGAAGTGGATGAGGAGTTTCAATTTGACATAGATTGCGAAGATGCTGGATATGATTATAGTCCCAAATTGATTTCTCAGAACTTCATGAACCGAACCCATTTCATTTTCCAATTGGAGGAAATGGCTGCTTCCCACTCTCTAAACTAGATGAAAGGATTTAATGGAGTTAGGATTACAATTTCAGAAAGATAATGGAAAAATTGGATTTAATGGAGGTTTTAGGATTGCTGATTTGGGGAAGACGACTGAAGAGTGAAGGGGATTTGTTTTTGTTTTAACTGGGTTGGGTTTGGGTAGATGGACCTAACCAAGGTTAGACTTAAGTGGGGCATGGGTTAAATCGGACCAATAATGACAGGACACGTGGAAATTCAAGTCTTATAAATATTTAAAAAAAAATAAATTCCAACTGTTAGTCAAATAATGGCATAGATGAGCCATTTCTGTAACGGCAGTGGCATGGAAATAGCATTTTTTTTAACGGATCGCATGGATAGACCATTTCTGAAAGTTGAGTGGCATTTTTAGGCCTTTTCCGTATTTTTAAGTTATGGTTCATATCTACTGTTTTTTGCTATTTTAATAGATTTTTTCACAAATTTATGCTCTACAACGAAAGTTCAGGATTCAAATACTTTCAAGTTGCATCTGCCGCTAATGCGTAGGAACTTAATTGTGTGAAAGTTTACTTCTGAAAAGGATCCAGCATTATTTCAAGCTGTTAGATAAATTTTTTAAAGCTGTAAGAACAGTTTTCGTAATATTTCGGAAGCGGAGTCGAGCATAGCAGGAGTTATGTACGACGTGTTGATTTTTTGATGACATCTTGCAGACTATCATCACATTTGTAAGCCATGCACCAAAAACATTGTATACTTTCCTCCCTCACGAGAATTGCGTTAATCTCGATGACAAACTCATGAATTTCAAGTAAGGTAAAGCAAACACTTTGCATTGCTCCGCCACTATAAATACTCCTAGTGTAAAGGCACTCAGATTGCTAAGCTTAATTCGTAGACATAGATTTAGTTAAACAACTGCGACATTCAAGCATGGCTAGATCATCCCAAGGAAAGGTGATAACGATTCTTAGCATTGATGGTGGAGGTGTTAGAGGGATCATTCCCGGTACAATTCTTGCTTTTCTTGAATCCCAATTCCAGGTTAGTTAACACACATATATATATTGTACTTTCTTATAAAGAATATACGTTAATTACATAAAGCACTATCAATGCACTTTAATTGGTTATATCAGATCTCAGGCTTGATACAGAAAGCTGGCTACATTGTAGGTTAATTTAGCTTGATAGTATCAAAATTCTTGAACTTTAATCTCGTACATTATCCAAAATTTCCTAAATAATTTTTCTAATTTTTCCACAGAAACTGGATGGAAGTGATGCTAGGATCGCAGACTACTTTGACTACATAGCAGGGACAAGCACTGGAGGTTTAGTTACTGCAATGTTAACAACCCCGAATGAAAAGAATCGACCTTTATTTCGTGCAGATGAAATTACTGAATTCTATCTGAAGGAGAGTCCACATATATTCCCGCAAGATAAAGCAAAGCCCCGGTATGCATTAAATTTGCATTTATTTAACCAGGTCTAAATTTCTGCTTGTTTATCGTGTGCTCTCTGCATGCAGGTTTAGCATTCCCGGGTGGGATACTGTAGTTAATTGGGTTAAGGACCTTTACAACAGATATGTTGGCCCTGTATACCATAGTGCCGAAAAAATCGTCGATTGGATCCAGTCCATGTTGTTTCGTCCTAAATATGATGGAGAGTATTTGCGTGGGAAAATCAAGAATATGATTGGAGATAGAAAGCTTAGCCAAACACTAACTAATGTTGTCATTCCTGCCTTTGATGTCCATGAGTTCCAGCCTGTTATCTTTTCATCTTTACAGGTCATTTTAATTTTTTTTCTTTTGTTTTCCTACTTAATTTTCTTCACTAATGATGGATGATTTATTTTACCACAGGCGAAAGGGGACGACACAAAAGACTGTCTACTTGCAGATGTTTGCATCTCTACTTCTGCAGCACCATATTACCTTCCTCCTTATCGTTTTGAAGTTAAGTCATCCAAAGGTACCAAAATATATAACACCGTCGACGGTGGTGTTGCGGCCAATAATCCTGTAAGTTACAATTGTGTGCACAGTCATATATGATCATTTTACAGTATCACTAATTGACTAAGTTTGACAAATAAAATTGTACCAAAGACTTTGCTTGCAATACGAGAAGCTACACAAGAGATGTGGAGAAGTTCATCATCAAGTAACAGAGCTATAGATCATGATGTTACGTTTGTTATACTTTCACTGGGCACTGGATCAGCAAAAGGGGTTCTAAAGTTTGATGTTGAGGATGGTAAGACGTGGGGATTGGTCAATTGGTTTATGGGGCCAGGAGATAGCACTCCCCTCATTGATGTTTTTGAGTCTGCCTTGAGTGATATGGCTGATATTTATACATCTATGTTCCTACATGGCACTCCATCAAATGATACTTACCTCAGGATTCAGGTACTAAAATGTATTGCTGTCTCTTTCATTTCATCAAATGATACTTACGCATGTCATGTTCGTCTTTCTGAAATGGAACATTATTGATCATCAGATTGATGGGTTGAAGTATGAAGATACAATGACTGACAATGCAAAAGAAGAAAATCTGAGCAACTTGGTGCATATATCAAATGACCTGTTGAAGCGCCCTGTTTCTTCCGTTAACTTCGAAACTGGTTTTTATGAACCCATCTCAGACAAGCGCAAACCTGTAGGAAAAGCCGATTGGACCAACGAAATGGCTCTCGTTGAGTAAGTTCACCTTTTACAGAAAATATAAGTGCACATTAATATCATCTTTAATTTGCAAATAATCTGATTTTCCTGTTTCTCTTTGGTTTGTAGGTTGGCAAAAAAATTGTCAGATCAGAGAAAGCTCCGCCTCAAACAAAAGGCTTGAGCAATCCGTTGTAGTGCTGAAGCTCTAGGTTAATTGCTGGAGACTTTGAAAATAAATACTCTGGCTGGCTTTAGGTGTCTAACATGTTTTAATCAGTAATTGCCGGATGATAATAAACTTAAAAAGTAGAATGCTGAAATAAGATATCTCTTTGTTTAAAGGCAAATGATGAACATCTCTGCATCTGTTGAGGCTTTTTGTTTTTCTTTTGTATTTACTTCTCACTTTTTTTTTATATGTGGTAGGCATATAAATTTTAAATCCATAAAAGAATTTGGATTATATTTTAAAATTCAAGATATATTGGTCTAAATAAATATTATGGGCTAATATAATTAAATTAATTATATAAGTCCAATATATATGGATTAAATAAATAAGTCTATGAAAATGGTAATAACAATTAAATTTGTTGATGGGACTCTAAAAATACGTGATCTATTCTTATGCTAGTTGCAGAGCAGTTCAAGCTATGTATATGAAGTTTAAGGACGAGATGTAAACTAAAATGGAGTCGTAATCGAACCGAAGGATAGCCGTTCAGGGCCTCGAGCTAGTCGACTTAGGGCTTCGAGGTCGATTCCCGAGCTCGGGCTATTAGGGGCAGTCGGGGAAGGGCTTACAGATGCGATAATATTAAAGGAGGCTCTTTATGGCCAATGATAAGCAATAAATGAAGAACAATGATAAGCAATAAATGAAGAACAAGTATGAAGATAATGAAATAAAGCAACAATATCGAGAGAGTGTATTAGTGAGAAAAGAGAGAGAGAGTTATCATATATTTTATGTAGAGTAGTTGGAGCAACATCAGTCCCCTGTAAAATGGTAAGGATCCCCTTTATATATGAGGGGAAACCTGACATAGTACAAAAGCATTAATTACGAAGATAAAGGGGATGGGACAACTAGGTGACACCAGGTTCTGCCAGTGCTAGTTGCACGCCTTGGGAACTCCCCCTCTCCGGCATTGCCATTAGGTCGGGCGTCAGTGGACTTCGAGGAGGAGAAATCGACCGCAACCTCGCGGCCTCGAGGTCTCGAGATGGTCTCCTAGAAATGCCTTGCTGACGAGAAATCGGGCCCTCTGATTTTGCCGTATACAGATAGTCTCCGCATTTTCTAGATCGAAGAAATAGGAAACGATTTTGAACCGCCGTTTCGACGGCATCATTGCCCTGACGCCAACCTTTAAGATCATTAAATACCATATCTCAGAAAACCGTACAAGGATCGCCGTCAAATGCGATTATCGAGGAACCCACGAACTGCTTATCGACTCGCCTTTTTCGCTGCCCAAGCGGCTCCTATAAATATATCGACTGTTTGATACTCTTTATTTTCACCGCGTCTTCAAATTCACGAGTCAAAACCCATCATCTTTTACACTCTTCCATCTTGTTTTAGAGAAAATTTTACCATTGATATGGCTAGGACTTCTAGAACGGTTCCTCGGCGGAACGAAGTTGCATCACCATCTCGATCGCCTAAAGAGAAAGCTAGAGCGATACCTTCCTTGGAACAGTGCACTCCGCCCAATCTTGATATGTCGAAAGATTTTACCATCGATGCCACTTCATCCACACCGGGCCAATGTGAGCATGTGTCCCGATATATTAGCATCGTGACTAACATAGGAACGGTGAGGACAGACTGCCGATAGAGCGAGGTAGTCGGGGGTGGAGATTCCCGGTCCTAATGAGAATATAACGGACTATAAGGCCGGCTTCCTTCACGTGTACCTACCCGTTCACCTTGGGTCTCGATAATTCTTCTGAATCCTCTCCTCCAGAGATAGACCCGGTTATCCTTGATTTCCGCGACAAGTACCAAGTGACGCTTGGTCAGATCTATCCTTCTTTCTGGAGGATAGTATTGATGCTCCGTCATTTCACCGAAGGGGTTGAGGGCGAGACCTTTACCCTCAACCATTTGATTAGGATGTATTGCCCTCGATTTTATCGAGGTTTGATCAGGCTCCATCATCGATCCAAAAAATCATTTTTTTCGAGCGTCGACGAGGGAAAGGATCGAGGGTGGATGAGCAGGTACGTCCGGGTAAAGACCTCGGATATCATCCCGGCCCGGAGGATGCCTTTTCCGGAGAAATGGAACACACAACGTAAGCAATTTTCCGTTAACCGCATTTTATAAATAATATTTTTCTTTTGGAATAATGACCTCTCTGCGTTTCCTGCAGCCGCTGCTTGGTACCATGAGGCGGTTCCGGATTTGCCGGGATGGATCAAGCGGTTGGATAAGGTGTTCCCATATCTTGTTCGGTCTTGGACCGACCTGGCCAAGGAGCGATGGGTGGCCAAGAATCATGGTAGAGTTTTCTTACCGCCTATGCCTCATATTAGCGTTTCTCCTTGCGCCCCTTGGTGATGACAACTTGCGGTTGCTGCATTTGCGCAGGTCTTGGCGAGAATATGCTGATGAGGCCGCCCCCTAGCGGTGAAGTGGAGGCTTCGGAGCCCGGCAAGGACAAGAAGAGGGAAGGTAAGGCGGCTATTGATCCTCCTGTGGCAAAGAAATCCAGGTCACTCAAGCATCAAGCCGCTACTAGGACCTCTGCTCTGTAGGGGAAAATCTTGGTGCTGAGGATGAGGACGACGATGAGTGCTCGCTAGCGCGGAGGACGAGGTCAAGTGTGGGAGCCTCGGAGGTATCTCGATCGGAGGCCGCTGAATCTGGGACGGTTGACTCGGGTCGGTCCCGTAGATCGAAGACCCTTGAGGAGGGTGTTAATGTGGCCTCGGGTCACATGACTGAGTTTGGCGCAGTTTCCGTAAGGGGGACCATTGCCATCGATCCTGAAGGGTCAGGGCCTGGAGCTTTTCAGGAGCAGGGGTTGCCTCTTGGGGAAATCGGCGACATGAATGATTTCATCTCTTGCTTTCAAGTCTCGTTAAGGGAACTGAGGGACGCTCGAGATGCGAACGTCGTCAAAACGGGGATTCCTCTCAAGGGGGAGGCTCACTTGCCAAACATCTTTGACGGTGTTAGTGATAACGTCGGGTTTGACGTTCTTGGCGCCGTTAAGGCGGCGGAGAGATCCATGCAGCAGGTGATAGCTGTCTTTCGTATACCTATTTTAGTCTCGAGTGTTGTTCTTCATTTTTTTTCTAACTCTTCCGTTGTGCCGCAGTGCAAGGATATGTACGGTCATGCCATCTTTCGGCTCCGCGAGGAGCTTTCTTACCATGAGAAAGCATGCAAGAAGCTTACTTTGGTGCTGCGGGAGTCGGAGCCTCATTCTGCCCGAGGAGAGAAAGAATCAGGAGAGCTCCGGGCCGCTTTGGAGAGAGCGTTCCAGGAAAAGGCTGATCTCGCTGCACAGGTATTTCGTCCTGCTTGTACCCGACCTTTTCACCCATATTTTGATGTAGATTGGCTTACTTTACTTTTTCAGGTTGAGCAAAATGATTTGCAGATTAGTCGACTGAATGCGGAGATTCTCGGGCTGAGGAAGCAAAGCGAGGTAGCGGCTGCGGAACTGGCGTCATCTCATGATCTTCTCGAGGACGCTCGCAAGGAGCTCTGCAATGGTGCTGGAGGCTTTCTGGAGCCTAACTTCCTGCTGATGGGGGTCCTCGAGGTCGGGTACCACCTCGAGACTGGAGATGACGCCATTGGCTTCTTTAAGCCTAGCTTCATGTTGATGGAGGTCTTCGAGGTCGGGTACCACCTCGGCACTGGAGATGGTGTTGTTGGCTTCTTAAAGACTAACTTCTTTTTGATGGAGGTCTTCGAGGTCGGGTACCACCTCGGGACTGGCATCGAAGTCATTAGACTCCCGGGGCCTATCTCGGGCAGGCAGATCGTTGCTGTTTCCACATATATATGGGGTTGCTTCCGCCTTTTGGGAGATCCCACTTTTTTAGATAATTTCCTTCTATTTCGGCGTCGAGTCCTTCGTTACCTTAGCACCAGAGTGTTTGTGTAGGTTCCCGCTTTAGCTCCTCTAGTCTTGCCATAGCCATGACTGCTACTTCGAGGTTTGCCTAGCAGAGAGGGGAGAGTTCCGCTCCCAGTGCTCAGGAGCCGCGGGAGTTTATCTTGAAGACTATGTCTTTGATAAGGGAGGATCACCTTGAGTTGGTGAGGAGAGACTGCAGATGGGGAGAGGAGGCAGCGTTACAGGTGCTTCCCCCAGGCGAGGATATCACGGACCATGCCGATGGGTTCCTGAACATATATACGTATCCCTTCACATTGGGACCAGTCGACAAGGTCGTGCTCGACTTCTGTGTAAAGTATCGAGTTACCTTGGCGCAGGTACACCCGTCGTTTCGGCGAATAGAGTTGATGATGAGGTTTTTTGCGGAGAAGGCGGGGCTTGAATTCACGCTCAGCCATCTCGTCAGGCAGCCGACCCTTTCGCTACCGAGGCCTGCTAACCTTGCGGTGCCGTTCGTCCACGCCTTTTGTTGTTGATGATGATGAAGACGGAGATCGGGAGTGGACTAGTCAGTTCGTCCGGGTCTGGACGGCTGACGTTATCCCTGTGGAGCTTATGCCATTCCTTGAAGAATGGAACTATATGCGTGAGTGGAGCGTCCCGTGCTTTCTCAAATTTGTTCATGGTGAAAGCTAGTTTCGTAATCGTGTTTCCTTCTTTTCTGCAGCAATTTCATGGGCACCAGGCGAAGTTCCTGGTTTGCCTGGTTGGGTCCGGAAGCTGGTGACCCGCTCGACTTGCGACGAGCTGTGTCTCGGGGCAGATGGAAAGTAAAACATCACGGTGCGCGTGTATACTGCTTTTCCTTTGTTCCTTGTTTATTTGGAGAGACATTTTTCCCTTTTTATGCATTAATCTTGTTGTCATAGGTATCGGAGAGCCTCCAAAGGTGAGGCTGTACCCCTCCGGAGAGGAGGAGGGATTG